GTCCCTAAGCCATTTTTGACACCAGGCCGAGAAAATTCTCATCCAGCCTTCCTGAAAGAAGGCCACCATTGAATCCAATAAATGAAACAATTGCTAGAACAACTTCAGTCTGCTCAACCTATCATATTAAATCTAGAAGAAGTATAACTATGTTAAGAAATTTTACGTGATACAATGTCACATTCCATCCTCCTTGGTCTAACATATTATTATACATATGCTATAATCACATATATCCCCTAGGTTCATGTCAATGTAATTTAGAAAAATACAGCAATTCTTTTGGAGTATAACTAATTTCTTCTTACATTGGATTTTTCACTTGGCCCTGTTGGAATATACTTAGATTGCTTTAGCTGTACAGGCCTAGACACAGTAGAGGTGGCGAGTCTTGAGGAGAATAAGCATCTCATTGAGAGGAATGCTCAGAGTGGATTCAAGGTTTTCAACTTTATGTTCCATCAGATATCCCTACTTCTTTCCAATCAGAGTCTTAATTTTTACTTAGGACGCTTGCAAAGTCTGTGAATGCCCCTTTCATTGTAATTCCATAACTCACCCAAATAGTTAAATGTTGAATTTGGTTTTCAGATATATTTGCCCTGCTATATACAAACTAAAATAAATACATTTGTACAAAAAAAAGATTCTTCTAGGATCACAAGAGAAGCATTGAGATTATTAAATTCTTGAGTCATTTTCCTTTTGTATAGTCTCCAGCACTGTCAGAAATAGCCATTCTACCCGAAAGTCATCACAGTCATTATTACCACCATATCCATCACCTGCAGCAGTCATTTTATCCCCCCAAGATACTCATTTACGTAAGCATTTTATTCCAAGCAATTCCAGGTGATAATTAAATATTGCACGCTATGTCAGTATCCTCATTTTCTACTGACAAAGAACTTCGCGTTAAGTTCAAGGTCAAGGACATATGTTAAACATTTCCATAATCCCATCTTTGAGGGGTTTCTGGCATCAATCCCAGTACCTGACACTGTAACCATGAGGAAAATAGAAATCACCTTAAGGATTTGGAACAGAGGGCATTTAAGCAGAGAATTGGTAACATAGGTGTTTGATAGCAAAAGGACAAAATTGGGATAGTTCAGTAACCCAGATATTAAAAAGTAAAGAAGCTGGCATCTCTACATATATAGGACCAAGGACAGAACCCAGAAGGCTGACAAAGAAGCACCATGGAGATGGTACACAGACCTCTGAGAACGCGTCCCAAATGGCTACTGCTGTTACCTGGCATCTCATCAGACAACTGGTCCTGGAAGCTCTCAAGGAAGGTTGAGGTTTTTAGCTGCTACTGACCAATATAGAAAAAACAGAGATGTCTAAGTCCCTTCTCTTCTTTCCTTGCCTTCTATTGGCAAAACTTAACGGGAAACCATTTGACTAACAGGAAAATGTAGTTTACAGAGTCATCATAGAGAAGAGTCCTGAAGGGTGCTTTAGAACCAAGAGCTAATAGGTCAGTAGCTGGCACACACTTCCCATTTTGCCTAGAATAAAAGCTAAAATCCTACAGTGATCTATAGTTGCTCCATAACCCAGTCCCTTGTCACTCTCAATTTCATCTCACTCCTCCTGCTCCTGCCACAGAGATGCCTTGATCCTTCTTGAACACACTAGGCATGTTCTCATCTCACACCCTTCACACTCACTGTTCATTTGGCCTGGAACTCTCTTCCCTGAGATCTTCATGGCTCACTCCCTCATTTCCTTCCATTCAAACATTACTTTGTCAGTGAGGCCTTCTTTCGATTTTCCTCCTACAATTTCACCTCATAGTGGCATATTATTTCCCTTTTCCCTGCTTTCTTTTTTCCATATGTACTTATCAGCCTATAATATACTCTATATATGCATATATTTATACTTATTTTATTTTATTATTTTTATGTTATATATATTTTTTTCTTGTTTTTTTTTTTTTAAGACAGTCTTGCTCTGTTGCCCAGGCAGGGGTGCAATGGTGTGATCTTGGCTCACTGCAACCTCTGCCTCCTGGTTCCAAGCCATTCTCCTGTTTCAGCCTCCCGAGCAGCTCGGACTACAGACACCTGCCACCATGGCCGGCTAAGTTTTGTATTTTTGGTAGAGATGGGGTTTCATCATATTGATCAGGCTCATGTCAAACTCCTGACCTCAGGTGATCTGCCCGCCTCAGCTTCCCAAAGTGCTGGCATTACAGGCGTGAGCCATCACGCTTGTCCTAATTTTTGTAATTTTAGTAGAGACAGGGTTTTGCCATGTTGGCCAGGCTGGTCTCGAACTCCTGGCCTCAGGTAATCTGCCCACCTTGGCCTACCAAAGTTCTGGGATTATAGGCATGAGCCACTGCACTGGGCCAGTATACTATATATTTTGTATATTTATCTTATTGTATGTCTTCTCCAGTAGAATGTGAGTTCCACAAGATAGAGACTTTTATTTGTTTTGCTCATGGCTTAATTCCAGTGACAGAACAGTTTCTGGCAAATATTTGACATTCAACAAATATTTTTAAAATTAGTGAATATACTAACACAACCCTTATCCTAGACAACTCTCACCTGGACACATCCAGGAATCTACTAACTGCTCTCCCTTAATTCATTCTTGTCTCTGCCTATCCATTTTCAACACTGCTGCTATAGTGATTTAAATAAAATAATTACACATTAGACTACATTCTATTCCTGCCTCTTCACCTCAGTCATGGCTCTATAGCTAATATTGACTTATTGAAGTAAATTCTATTCATTCAGGGGTTTCGTTAATCATTTAATAATGAAGATTTCTACATATGGCAGTTTTTCAACAGTTTTTCACTTGACTTGTGTTTTTAGTGATCTTTTAAAGAAATCTTTGCATAGTCTCTTATTACCTAATTTGGCTTTTGATACTATAAAAAGTGGATCATTTAAAATCTGATCTTTTGTATGTAGAGACAAGATGAAAATATGTCTATCTTACTTAACACAAAAGTTATGCTTTTAAAATGTTGCCTGTGAATCTATATACATGTTAAAGCCTAGATTTTTATTTCAAAGTTTATAATAAATCGAGTATTCATTCTTTTGGAAAAGTTTTTGGGAATAAGACATAATAAAATCTCACTTAAGCATTCATGAAAACAAACGTTGCCTAAATCATAAAATATAGATGTATATTTTATATTTTGCATAGTAGATTAAAAGTCTAAAAGGGATTATTGTTTAACAAAATTTCCATCAACTCTTGTCTTACCTCTAAAATAGAATAATATGTCTCCTTTTTTGTCTGTCCAAAACCTATTTCTTTGCTCTCTGTAAAAGTTGTATACTTGTAGAAATGAACAGGTTGATCTAGTCTGATGGAACAATAAGATGTAACAAGAATCTGGGCAACAATTGAGCCTGCCTGCCTGGTTGTTTTTCTTTATTCTGAATTACTGTATGGCTTGAGTTTTGCTTATGCCAAGCTAGTGGTTGGATGTGTGTGCCTTCTCTTAGTGAATTGTAACAGCCTGGAGATCAAGATTTTACTTACTTTGTGCCCCACAGAAGGCTTTGCACAGTGTAGGTGCTGAAATTGTTTGTTACAATTAGTTTAAAAATTAGACACAGTAAAAAGTATATGAAGCAACTCTATTAACAGATCAATGGAAATTTTAAAGCTAAATGCAAGTCTTCAGATTCAATGCAAAGAAAGAACACCCAGAACACCCAGATTTATCAATTATGTAAAATTTGGTGTTCTATACAATGAATTGAGCTGATAGCCATAGACATTTGAGTGTGTGTGTATGTGTGTAATGGTTCAAGCTACATTGAAGGGTTTTGATAATTCTCAAAACAATGCTGGATTTTTTTTTTTTTTTTACAACATAGAAATTACTGTTCTGCTTCAAATAATACATTTGAATATAAATGCATGCATCTTCATTTCCTACCTTCAGCTTCTCCCTTGCAGGTCTGGGGTCCTAAAACATTGCACGACTGTGTTTTCCTCCAGCTCAGGCTTCTCTACCTTCCTTCATTTGGAGCATCTGTTATGCAACGTATTGAAAAGCAAATTGCCTGTTTTGGAAAGGGTGATTTCCTTTTGAGTCCATCTTAATCTCCAAGGAAAATGTAGACACACACAAAAATATGCACAAACAGCTGGAGTACAGGTTGACGTTAGCGAAACCAAACCATTTTTTTAATATATTCAGAAATTCGAGTGAAGTTGCTTTTTATAAAACTTCCCTGCTGTTCTCACAGCACAGCATGCAGCCCTATGAGGTGGAATATGCTGTATTTTCACACAAATTTTTCTTAACATGGGTCAGTATTGATAGTGTAATCTTTACAAAATATGCCTCTGATGAAGAAAATAAATCCTCCCTTTCTAATAGCAGGGTTGTAAAAAATACAGCATAAGGCAACTTGTTTGAAATACCATGCTACTGAAACATGTCAGAATATACTTACTCTTTAATCTCAGAATGACTTTCACCGGTTTACCTTTAATGTAATTATTTTTAGCCCTTATGATTTAACTTTGGCTTCATGTGATCCATCTGGTTGGATAAGAGCCAATACTTATGTGTTCCTTTCAGGTTTACTGAGTGCTTACATAAATATTATCTGGCAAAGTAGGTATTTCTCTTATCCCCATTTCACAAACATTTGGTGATTGCTTTTGCAGATGTTACCCAAAGATGTTACGGTAAACTCTAAAAATTCAAAAAGCTTAGTCTATCTGATTGTTCTTTTTTATGAAGTGTCAGACATTTGTTTATTGTAAGTGTATTCCACTGCATTATTGTAAACCAATTAAAGTGGAGTGACAAAATGATAATACATCTAGTTGATGTCTAAACATGTGACAATACTCTTTCATCATTGAAGAGATGTTGTTAAGAATTATATTTGGCTACCAGTAGTTATAGCCTAAACAAGAGACATATAGCTTTGTCTCATGTTAAAGAAATCTGAAAGCAGACAGCTCAGGTTGAGGAAACCATGCTATATATATTGTGTATATACTATTTATTAGGGAACTACATGTTCCTTTATGCTTTGCCATTCCCAGCACACTTGGTTTCCATTTTCAGGGCACAGGGTGGTTATCAGGGCTCCAGCCATTGTGACGTCATTTTCTGTTAGGATGCAGAAGAAAAAGAAATAAAAACCAAAAGGTTTGTTTTCAGAAGTCCCACCCAATAATTGTTCTATCTACATCTCACTGGACATCCCAGTTCCAGGGGACAAGGCAACAGTAGACTCCTGGATGGCTCATCATTGCAGGGCTAAGACTGGGGATTTGTTATTGAAGAAGAAAGGATGAATGGTGTGGGGAACCACAGCTTGCTGTTTTTGTCACTCTTCCATAAACGGTTTCCCTACTTTTAAGAACAGAATCTATTGAACCCTCCAAACTATTACCCCACATACTTTTTTAAAAAGTCCCACTAATGGTTTAAAGAGTATCCTTGGTTGAATAAAAATGTAATCAGATAAAACAAAATTAAGGTAGAGTGAAAGAGACAGTTGAAAATCGACAAGTATCCATCCCAGATCAGAGACTATCTAATAGCAGTAAAAAATGAACTAGAATTTGGTAAAAATCTATGTTATTCCTCTATAGGAATCCCTTCCTGTAAGTATCTTGAGACTGTTAAGGAAGCATGCTTAAATTATGACTATTGCTCTATGGGGTTCTGAGAACTAAAAGGAATGAAAACATCCAGAGTCTTACAATTCCCATCATGAACATGACTTAAAATCTAAAATTCATTAGACTATTGACATTGAACATTAGAATAATAGTGATTTATTGAAAATAAAATTAACTACTAATCTCAAAATTTACATTATTAACATAAAAATGTGCTAGAGCACATTAGTAATTCAGTGCTAGTAAATTAAACAAAAGCAAGATAGGATTTAAAGTACAATTTTACTAAGAACTGATTGTGAAAAATCATATAAACATTCCCTTATACTACTTGGAGAAAATAAGTGGCAAAAACATTTAGAAAAGCTAAATAATGTACTTTAGGCATATATGTGTGGTATATAAATATATAGAAAAAGTAATAAAGCTGCCACATTCTTTAACCTAGTAATTCCACTTCTGGGAATCTCTTTTGGAAAAAAGATGGATCCTAAATCCTGAAAAAAAGGTTTGTTGCACAATCTTTATGGCAGCAGGATTTAGAAGTAAAAAACTGAAAATAGCTGGCTGTTCAACACAGGATAATAACTTAGGGAACTGGTGATATGTTCACTTACTGAAAACGGTATTGTCAATCAAGTAACTGAACAGGTAAGAAAAGGTAGCAAGAGAACTCTAAGGTATCACAGAGGTACCAACTGCAGGGAGCATCTATGGCTCCTGGGGCTGGGAGAGAAAAAGGAAGACATTGAAGTTGAAACTGAGTACCTTTGTGGAGGATCCCTGTGGACCCGTAGCCCAGACCTCCGACAAGTCAGGACACTGGCTGAGGCTGATGTTTCTGAGGTGGTGTGTGCTGAAGCTGGTTCTGTTAAGCGTGGGAACAACTGCGAACTGCATCCACCCACTGCTCTGGCAGGGCGCTGCCATTTGTAGGGTGAAAGAAGCATCTCCGGAATGATGTTCAGGACACAAGAAGGAGATAGCACAAAGGAAGGAGTTCAGTCCCTCCCTTATCCTGTAGAGCTCCACTCTCCCTGAAGCATCCTCTCTAGGCAGAGCCTAACAGGGAACCAGCTATCATAGCAGAAACTCCTAGCCCCTCCCTGCACTCCTAACAGCAGGTCTTTTCAGGCTGTGCTTGGTCCGTCTGGGTGCCTACCTTCTCCGTCATCCGTTCCGAAGGCTTCTGGAAAATCAAGAGTGGGTTAGGTGTGACGGGGAGGCCCCTGCTGCTGCAGGACTGAATAGGAGCCTATGCCTTGCTCAGTGGGCAAGGGCCACCTTGGCTAAGGTGCCACAGAACAGGTACCCAGGACTGGGTAGGGATGGGGAAGAATGTTTCCAGCCCTCCACGGGGCCGATGGGGCTTTGCCCACATGTGCCACTGCCTGCTGCAGGCTGGACAAGACACTGCCCACCATGGGGGCCTCCTGCTCATTGTCACCATCAACAATGGGCTGTCTCTCTTTTGACTGTGCTGGATCCAGTCGTCTGCAGAGTCCCAGAGCCACCACAGCAAAACTGAGTATAGAAGGCTGGTTTGGAGGTGAGAGACAATAACTTAACTGGCACAGCCTTACTTATTGCCTGTCTCTAGCTAGAAGATAGACTCTTTAGGGACACTAGCTCCAGTTCTTAGAACAGTGCCTGGCCCATGGCAGGTGCTCCATAGGTATTGTTGAATTAATGAAAAGGAACTCTCTGTTATTGAAGGAAGGGGTAGACTGTGAAAAAAATTATGGCATCTTTATTTCTGCCTTTAGAGTTTTCCTAATTCAGAAATTCCTCTAAAAAGTGAAAGGTGCAAACCAAGGGAACACCTCCCCTCTCAGTCTTTCCTATTCTACTTTTTCTTAACTATGTGTGACTTTAACAAGTTACTTACCTGTACGGACCCTGGTTTTATAATCCTGAAGATAGAAATAGCATGTACTTTATTTTTTCTCTTTTGAGATGGTGTCTCACTCTGTCACCCAGGCTGGAGTGCAGTGGCGCAATCTTGGCTCACTGCAGCCTCCGCTGCCGAGGTTCAAACGATCCTCCTGTCTCAGCCTCCCGAGTAGCTGGAACTACAGGCACCTGCCACCATGCCTGGCTAATTTTTGTATTTTTAGTAGGGACAGGGTTTCTCCGTGTTGGCCAGGCTGGTCTCGAACTGCTGACTTCAGGTGATCCACCCACCTCGGCCACCTAAAGTGCTGGGATTTCAGGTGTGAGCCACTGCGTTTGACTGGAAAAAGCATTTACTTTAGAGTGTGATTGTAAAGATTAGTGTGATAATATGTACAGAACACCTTATATTCAGGGAGCGCACACATTTGTTCAATGAATTGTACTGTTGAGATCACAAATCACATTTCCTCACCCTTTAACCACTGTGCATCCAACATCATTTCCAAGTAGGTATGATTTCTGAATAATAATAGAAACCAACACTTCTTGGGTACTTCTATTTCGTGCCAAGCACCACTGTAAGTGTTTTACCTGTATTAATTAATTCTCCCAAGAATTTATGAGGTAAATGCTTTTATTTTTCCAATTTTACTGAAGAGGAAATTAAGGGAGAGAAAGTTAAAACAAAAACAAAAACAAAACACAACAAAAAAAACCTTAGATTACATAGCTAGAAGGTGTCAGGGCTAGAGTTTGAACCCAAGCAATCTGGCTCCAGAGTCTTAGCCACTGGTGCAGTGATCCTTTAATAGGACTACTAATAACTATTCTTATTGCTAAGTATTCCATAAGTCTCCCGGGTATTTACAGGAGTGTCTTGTGTAATTATTAATAGGCACTTTGCCCAATTCAGCCAAAATTCCTAAGGAGAATCATTGACTTAGAAAAACCACATCTGATTGAATTGAGCACGCCAAGAATGAGGAGAGATGGTGTCTCCTTTCACGAGGGTATCTGGACAGAGCTTAAAGTGTCAATCTAATTATATACTGTTATTCTCCTATTATGGAAAAACCCTGTAATTGGATACTAGAAAATTCTCTGTAAAAGCTTGTCCCTCAGGCAAGGCTTAATACTGGTCTCAGAAGCCCAGTTAAATATGTTTCAAAAATCAGTTATCCTTAAAAATACTGAAGGGAAATACTTCACATTAATGCAGTTATCTTTGGATGGTAACATAATAGATAATATTTTTTCTTTTTCTTTTTTACAACTCTTTTATTCAAAATTTTTCTTAAGAGGAAGAATTGTTATAAAAACAATGTATTTCTTAAGTATAAGAAAACATTTCTACAAAAAGTAGAAATTTTAGATAAGTAAAAATAAAATGAATTATACATAATTAATTACACCATTACATGTTAAAAATCTGCCATATTTTCTAAATTTTTCTAATGTAAGGATACTCAAAAATTGTGAGTGTGTATAAAAGATGGAATCATATTCTTCATGTTTCTTTCTATTCTGCTATGCTCTTCACTTACAAGAATACTGTGAATATACTTCTCTATGAATAAATGCACATGTATTCACATTTTGCCATATATTTACTGTTATTAACGTATTATAATTTTTAACCATTCTCTTCTTATTGGATATTTAGGTGGGTTCCATTTTATAGCTATCATAGCCCTAAATTTATACGTTTATTTCTCACTTCTCTTATTAGTCTCTCAGGATAAATTCCAAGAGTGGAATTTCTAGGTCACATTTAAGACTCTAAGTTTTTAAACGTGTATTGACTAATTGTCCTCCAGTAAAGTTGCTGCAAATTATTCTTCTACCAGCAGTGTCTTAGAGTGACTGTTTCCTTAGAGACATGCGATGTTCTTCATTGCCTTTGTCAGTAAGTTAAGCTAAACAAATATTTAAGATTTATTGTTTATTTCTTTGATAACTGCTTCATGTGCTCTTGTCACGTGTGCGTCTTCTGTGAATTGCCTGTTTTTGTCTTTTGCCAATTTTATTTATTGAATTGCTTTTTTTAAAGTTGATTTGCTCACGCCTGTAATCCCAGTACTTTGGGAGGCCAAGGCGGATGGATCACGAGGTCAAGAGATGGAGACCATCCTGGCCAACGTGGTGAAATCCCGTCTCTACTAAAAATACAAAAATTAGCTGAGTGTGGCGATGCGCGCCTGTGGTCCCAGCTACTCAGGAGGCTGAGGCAGGAGAATCGCTTGAACCAGGGAGTCGAATGTTGCGGTGAGCCGAGATCGCGCCACTGCACTCCAGCCTGGTGACAGAGTGAGACTCCGTCCCAAGAAAACAAAACCCTGATTTGTAAGAGTTCTTTATCTTCAAATATGTTTAATATGTTTCAAAAGCTTTTACACCAGCTGATGAATTAGTTATATTGAAATTCCTATTCATGTCTATTCCACGCATTACATTTTAAAGGAGAAATCAAAGGCGTGTCCAGTCCTGGAGTGGACTCAATGTCTAAGCAGAGACAAGGGTAACTTGGCACCAACGTTACAGGAAAAGACAGTGCTGGGCTCATGAGAGACTCTCGGGAAGAAATGCCAAGAATTCAATCTGGGCGAGAACTATTCTCTTGGGCACAATGAAAAGTTTTCTCCTAACCATAGTTTCTTCGTGAAACAAAACTAAAGATTAATATCAAACTTCACAGTGTATCCTTCCCAGTTCCTCTCTGCCTAGTTAGGCTTATTCATCCCTTAGATCTCAGCTCAAGCACCATTTCCTCAAGGAAGTTTTCCCTGACCTTGCCTACTAGGTCAAACCTCCTTGTAATGTTCCTGAGACAGTGTAGTTTTTTGCAGTACTTCTCACCGTTGTGATTTTATATTTATTTACCTGATTGTTTGATTCATACCTCTCTTATTATTTGAATGGATTCTCCCTGAGGGCAGAAACTGTTTTTGCAACTCTTCATCTCTCAGCCTGCCACAAAGGAAATGAATGACAAAGATTCGTTAGATAAGTTGTATGTAAAAATGCACTTTAATTATAATTAATATCCAAAAGGAGTGAGTTCAGCCATTCTACATGAATACTTTTGACATTATCATGAAGTGCTAATTTAAAGAGCCCCTTCAGATACTATTACACAGAAAAATCTAAACTCAGGAGATCACAATTTAACAGCAAAATAAACACTCTATTGCCCCAAGTGAACAGAGCACATTTTTCCACCTAAAATTCTCGGCAAACAAGGTCGGTTTAAATAGACCTTTCCATTAAATCCCTCATCATATAACTTTTTAAAATGCCATAGGTTTGATTCATAGGCATATAAGGATTAAAAGAAAAAAAATCCTGTGTATCTGTGGAGTCCAATACAATAGCCACTAGCACCCTTGACTACGGGGCAGTTGAAAGGTTATTAGTCCAAACTGAGATATGCTGTCCTTATAAGCTATACACCAGATTTCAAAGACTTATTATGAAAAAAATGAAAATGTTTCATTGTTTTAAAATATATATGTTTAAATAATACTATTTTGGATTTATTTTTATTTTTTGTTTTTGAGACTGCGTCTCGCTCTGTTGCCCAGGCTGGAGCGCAGTAGTGCGATCTCTGCTCACCGCAAGCTCCGCCTCCCGGGTTCACGCCACTCTCCCAGCCCAGCCTCCCGAGTAGCTGGGACTACAGGCACCCACCACCACTCCTGGTTACTCTTTTTGTATTTTTAGTAGAGACGGGGTTTCACTGTGTTAGCCAGGATGGTCTTAATATCCTGACCTCCTGATCCGCCTGCCTCGGCATCCCAAAGTGCTGGGATTACAGGTTTGAGCCACCGTGCCGGGCCTTGTTTTGGATTTATTGAATTAAATAAACTGTATCATTAAGATTAATTCCACCTGTTTCTTTTGACCTTTTTATTGTTTCTAGTAGAAAATTTACAGTTAATATTTGACTCACATTATGTTTCCATTGGATAGTGCAGCTCTTTGGTATAACTCAGATGCAAAAACCTCTACCTTGGTACAATTTGTTTTACGCCACACTCACCTATTGAAAACTGGGAAAGCTACCAAAGAGATATCTGAGTAACAACAATCTGTTACAAGAATCTGAGTATGAAAACTTACTCAATGAAAGTCCTCAAGTCTCCAGAGCATTCATTGTATCTTATTTCTACCCATAATTTAACACATTCATTTATTAACTTTCTAAGGTCAAAGAAAGAAACGAACAAAGTTGAGAAAGCTGACCAATCGCTTGCACACTTATATCTGAGAATTCAGACTCTTAATCCTTCACTCTTATTTAGCTGGCGACCTTGATAACAAGGTAATACAAACATTATGGAAAGATAAAACAACAAATCTAAGCTGTTGGGGGCTGCATAGTGTGTATAGTTTAGGAACAAGAGGGTTTTCCAATGTAGTACAGAATAGTCATTGAAGTTAGAGAGAGTTAAGTGATTGATCATAGGACATACTCCATTTAAAACAACAGAATAGTGGCATCATATCATAGAAAGAGTT